TTGATTCGTCACATGATCCAGTCACATGATCATTTCACACATTCCTGATGTGATTTAAACACCTGTTTGTAATTCAACTGGCTCATATCCTGATGAAGACTCGTTAAGTCGAAACGCGTTGACATCCCTGTGCTTAAATAAAGGATTTTTAATAGTACCACGGAGTGCCTCGGACTTTTCAGTTTGGACTGCATTTTTGAACATTTTTTGAAACTTTCAATTTACAATCAGGACAGTCCTCCTGTTTTTATTACATTAATTTCATTCCCTGTCTTTGAAGAGCACCTGAGCGATTTTTTTGTCTCCTGACAATTTTAACCCAGTGCAGCACTCACCCGCGAGCCGTCCCACCACCCCAACCAAGCTCCAGTATCCTTTACGTTTTAAGACAGGTGTACAGGAAATCTCAAATAACCACTTGTCAACCATTTACTAACTACAATTAGGTGATCAGAATCTGATAGGCCTACCTTTGTTGACAATGAAATGCTGTGAACATTCCTACGTTATAATACAGGGTTATTATGTTATAATACAGGAGATTTACGGGAAAATACAAATACGGGAGGACGGCGGGAAAGAGGGGTAAAATACGGTAGTTTCCCGGCCAAAATGGGAGACTTGACAGGTCCAAATATCTTCAAACACCTAGTCCCTATTTACCTAGTCAATCAAGGTGATCAATTAATGTCTACCTTTTTCATATTATTTTTATTTTCAGCATACAAACACAAATAAAAAATTAATATATCACTAAAATATGAGTTTGGCTCTTCTCGTCATAATGAGCCTTACGCAGCTTAAATTTCATTTTTGCAGTCTGAATAAAAGCATCAATTCATAGTCTCAACTCAAAATAATGACAATAAAGACTCAAATAAAGAGAAAATCAATCTGTTTCAGTCTCTCACCTTTCCTGTTTTTGTAAATGACGTATCCGATCACAGCGATGAGGACGAGAGCAAGAACAACCACTGCAGCAATGATGGGGACGGTCACGGCAGTGGGTTTCTCTGTTGAGTGGAAAACAACAAAAAATAGTCACAACCTGAACAGATGAATTAAGATTAGGGGTGTTAACGGTACACTAAAATCTCGGTTTGGTACGTACCTCGGTACACAAGTCACAGTTTGTTTTTTTTCGGTACAGTAATGAAAAAACAACTATTAAATATCTTTTACTTATTGGTAACCTTATTAAAACATACGACCACAGCAGTTAACTCTTTTTACACAATTTTTGAATGAAACAAATATATATAAAATCCTGCTTTTTCACATTGTTTGAATGAAAATAGAAATATAAAAGTGAAAAATAAAATCCTGCTGTTTTT